CGAATTAGAAAGGAACTCACTGATCGATGCCACCATTGCCCAGCGCTAGAGGATATAGCGCAGCATACGCTGGAAGCATGCGTAGCATGGGACCACCAGCGCCATGTCCTCGCCCAGGCAATGGGAAGTCAAAACCTGGACCCATCCCTCTTCAAGGCCACAATAAGGAGGGAAGAGGTCTGGGCGGCGGCGGCCTCCTTAGCTGGAGATATAATCTCGCAAGGAGGCCGCCGAGTGGGAGCGCCGTCCGCGTCATCGAGTTCGACTACTTCGGCGGCTCTCCCCACAGGACAGCGATTCTGATTGACTGCCAGGTGCGGACTCGCGTAATCGGGGACGCCCCCGACCGCTCAGGGCTGCGTTCGGAAACGTCATTCGGGTGCATCTGCTGCGTTGGTGTGAGAGAGATACAAAAGTGAGATAAAGAAAGAGAAAGAGTATCCGAGTGACGTTTCCGAACGCAGCCCTTGACTCGCTTCCGTCCGCTGACGGAGGGGCATTAGACCGCCGCACAATGGGCCAGAAGTCCACTGTGGTTGGCCAAAATACAATTTTTTGAACTTACATGAAATCAAACATTTGTGATATTATTTATTTATACAGGGTTCTCAAAAAGTCTACGAACGATAAAATATCTTGAAAACGATCAGTTTTTGGAAAAAATGTTTCAGGCACAAGTTGTAAGGTTTAAAATGATCTATTTACGGATCTTATCAGTTTGACTCTGGCTAGCGTCAACAAGGTCAGGACAAAGTCACCTTGAACTTTTCAAATAGAACGCTCTACTTTTTTTGGCATATTCTTATAACATATTTCAAGAGCTTTCCAAAACACTATATCAAAGTATATTTTTGTTAAGTACATCGCGAGTTATGAAGCTTCAAAGTTACAGTACCGTCGGCATTAGCATTACCCAAGGTGTACCGCATGGAGGTTGCACGATCGGATTTACACCTCTTGTGTATGTGCGCGTGTGTGTGCGTGTGTGTGTGTGCGTGCGTGCGCGCGCGCGCGTGTGTGTGTGTGTGCGTGCATGCGCGCGCGCGCGCGCGTGTGTGTGTGTGTGTGCGTGTGTGTGCGTCTGCGATTAAATTGCAACCAATATGTATACTGTGTTTGTAGTCTATTTATATTTTTGCAGAAGCAATTTTTTGTAGAAACATGGATGAAATAGTATATAAGACTTTTAAATATTTCTGTATCGTTCTTTCTAATCTCCAATTTCTATCGAACTTTTCAACATAAAAAAGCAATTAAGAAATTATGCGAAACCAAGAAATATGTTGTATTATTTATCTCTTTAGATATTACTCTTATTTATTCTGCTTAATTCCGTAATATTTATTTCTCAATTTCATTTTTTAAACATCTTTTTTAATGCAATGAGGCTCAACTCCTGTCGGTAAACGGTCAATAAATTGTCGCAACGATCACAGTGCGAAGTTAGTTACATTTGTTCCCACATAGCATTAGATCTCCAAAGTATATCCTAATTTGATCAAAATGATCTTATTATGATCCAAATGAAAAAAGTTATCCATAGAAGTCCCTGAGGGCATATGCATTAGCCACAAATTATATAAAATATCCACATAACATCCGTAGGATGTTCTAGTGTATTAGTTAATGTTTACCGAAGAGCAGTGATACACTTTCTTTTTATGGTATAATATTTATTTGATACTGTGATTCATTCACATATAGTAATTAGTTTTTGTTTTTATTAATTAGATGTTTAACATGTGTGGGTTGCGTCTACTTTTGCGTTCTTGTGATCGAGAGGAAGGGAGAATTAATAAGTGAGGATATTAGTTATGGAAACATGCGGAATATATTATAACATTGTACAAATGTGTGTTGTGTCAGTGTATTTTCTTTTGTAAGATATTTCTTCGAATACGACGGCAGGTTGCCGCGTTGAAATAGGGCCATCGTGGGCTCCGTTTACTGAAGGCCAAGTTACTAAGGTGCTCCGTATTTGCTAGTATTCTATTGGTTCTTGGGGTTGTCTGCGTCCCAAGAGTCCCAAGAGTCCGAGGGGGAACGCCCTCGCTGACGTACCTAGGGGACAGCGGTCGTCCTACTCGTGAATCTGCCCGGGTTAGCTTATATAGTGGCAGTCTTGATAGACGCGGCGGTGTCACTTCTGCAATTGTTAGCTTCCACCGTGGAGAGGCTGGTTGCGCCTTTTTAGGAGAAGCTTGGTCATCGTTGTGCCATCCTTCGGGGGATGGAGTTTCTTGCCGACTCGAAGAAGGCGTTCTAGGCCGTCATGACCTAGGCTTGGAAGAGGTTTTCTTCGGAGATTCCGGGCCGAAGAGCTCTAACAGCGCTCTCTTGACTCCTTGTTTCTTACTCCTGCTTTCGGTCGCTTTTGCCGGTCCCCCGCCTTGGGAAACCATCTAGATGCGGCCGCAGGCTGACACGGTGAAGCCCCCCGGGGCTAATTTGCGTGCTGTCTTAATGCGTTTTTCAGCGCCGACGCTTTACAGCGTCGTTCGCAGTTTGCAGTGCGTGTACCAAAATATACGTTTTTCAGCGTTGCTCGCACACCTTGCGTTGTGTATAGCGGTAGAGAGACGCTTTGCAACGTTGCTCGCACTTTGCAGTGCGTTATGTGAGAGATATGCTTTTCAGCGTTGCTAGTATTTATAGTGCGTCGGTTCTCGATATACCATTAAGCGTCCGATTTCTCTGCTGAAACACCCGCAGTGCGCTCCTTTTAAATTCGCCGGTCGGACTTTTAACTCCGAGTCGTGGGGGGTCAATGACTTGCCACCTAGCGGCGCGGCGGCGAGGCTTGCTATGGCGTGGGTGGCTCGTGCTCCCGTCCTTTGACCTACGTCGGTATCGATCGCTGTATCGATCTGTCCGGTGGTGTTCTTTGCTTACCATAACATGTATTACTTATGTCTGAATAATTGATATCCAGAAAGCATAAAGAATACAAAAAGAAGTTAGTCTATATGTTATTTATGTCTTATAATCTTTCATAATAACGTGTAATATTTAGATGAATCATTTATTAGGTGTACAACTTTGCTTCCGCCGTTTCTTTCCGAAATTCGAGGCTTTATTGTAAAAAACTAGTTATACATTTATGATTCAAAGTATTGTCCATAGCTGGCCACTATTTTCTCCCATCTTTCGGGAAGCGTACGAATCCCGCGTTGAAAAAACTGATCATCTTTTGAAGCGATCCACGAATCGATCCAATTTCTTACTTCTTCATAAGACCGGAAGTGCTGGTCAACTAGGCCGTGTGCCATTGATCGAAACAAGTGATAGTCAGAGGGAGCAACGTCTGGAGAATACGGCTGGTGAGGTAGGACTTCCCATTTCAACGTTTCCAAGTATGTCTTGACCACTTTCGCAACATGGGGTTGAGCATTGTCATGCTGCAAAATCACTTTATCGTGTATCTTGTTGTATTGCGGCCGTTTGTCTTTCAATGCTCGGCTCAAACACATTAATTGCGTTCGATAACGATCGCCTGTAATTGTTTCAGTCGGTTTTAACAGCTCATAATACACTACACCGAGCTGGTCCTACCAAATACAGAGCATGACCTTGGAGCCGTGAATATTCGATTTGGCCGTCGACGTGGAAGCATGGCCGGGATATGCCCATGATTTTCTGCGCTTGGAGTTATCGTAATGAACCCGTTTTTCATCCCCAGTCACAATGCGATGCAGAAATCCCTTCCGTCTTTGCCTTTCAAGCAACTGTTCACAAGCAAACAAACGCCGTTCAACATCTCTCGGTTTCAACTCATACGGCACCCAATTTCCTTGCTTCTGAATCATTCCCATGTCTTTGAGGCGTTATGAAATTGCTTGCTGAGTCACTCCCAATGATCGTGCCAATTCTTCTTGACTTTGACACGAGTCTTCATTAAGTAATGCCTCCAATTCTGCATCTTCGAAAATCTTCTCTCTTCCACCGCTATGCCGGTCTTCGACGTGAAAATTACCGTTCTTGAAGCGTTGAAACTACTCACGACACGTTCTTTCACTACCCATACAGCACAGGTAGATTCTAAGCAGATTCTCAGTATATCGCAACCGTAAATTGCGATTATTCCATGAATATCCGAAATACGTACTATAATATTTTGAGAATATTGTAAGATACAGACGAGGGAGGACAGCACCAGTCTATTCCGGGCGGAGCCACGGGAGAAAGACCGGTCCTGAGAGAGATCAGACTCGACGGATGGAGAAAAGGATAAAAGGAGACGCACGGAGGAAGACGGGGCTTTTTGGCTTTTTACCTGTTTGCCGTTAGCTCTTTAGCCTTTAGCTTTTGCCGATCAATGTCGAGACGAATAATAGAAATTAGAGTCAAGTCGAAGAAAGAGTCGTAGAGCGTTAAGCTTTTGTAAAGAGATATATTTGATATAAGTTGCGGTGTCGGATACTATTGTATTATTGTTTATTTAAAATATACATACTGATATTCTTGTTCATAATAAGAAGAGTACAAATTAATCGCTCGGAACCTTAACATCCTGAACATCCCTCTCTCACAAAGGAAGAGGATCAAGAAGAAGAGAGACAGAAAGATAATAGAACAGAGAAATAGAGGATCTCTCTTTTTAAAATCTTACAATATACTGAGAATGTTCCTATGTCTGCTTCCGCAGTCTACTCAGTATATACTGAGAATATTTCGTAATATATTGTAGGTATATCTAAATAATATTTTAATAATATTACTAGTATCGATTAGAAATATTTCCTAGTTTATTGTTAGTATATTTGTAGAATATTTATATAATATATAAATATTCTGCAGGTTTTTTTGGGTATAATAAAAATGACCAATTGGTTATATATATGTTATAATATATATTTTTTAAATTAGTTTAACATATAAATGAACTCTTTATACATATATTAATAAACATATAAATGAATTCTTAACAACTTGTACTGCCTTTATAAACTATAAACTTTATAAATTATAATATATATATATATATGTATCTTCATAAATTATATATATATATGTAAAATCTAAAATAACTCAATTATTTTTTGTTTTTTTGCACGTTCCTTTGCATGAGCCAGCCAGATCTTGATGGGAGCAGAAATTTGTTCATCTGTTGCGGTTGTATGCGACTTTCTTATCACACCTGGAATATAATATTTAAAAATCAGTATAATTAGAGAGTGAGAGAGAGAGAGAGTGTGTTTTCTTTAAATAAATATCTGTTCTCATTTAAGTTGCTTAAAAGAAAGTTGAAAAATTTTATGTTAATGTAAATATATAAATAAAGAGATTACTTAAATATTTGTTTAAACATTTGGTAATTATTTAGAAAAGGTATACCGCCTCCGATTTTGCTAAAACTCACATATCATATATATTTTGACTCGTAGAAACCGGATCCAAAAGTAAAAATAGTTATTCAACTCTATAAAGCAAGAAAAAAATTGTTAAAGATAGAGGTATGATAGGTTAGGAAACCTGCCATTGCAAGGTAAAGTTTCTTCGTTGTACTTACTGTATTAGTGTAGCGCAGTATACAACTAAACTATACAAACTAAACTTTTATAATTATTGTACATAAGATAGAACTTATTTTGAATTGTACAAAAAATAACTCCTATCTTGTATACAATAATTATAAAAGAATATATCTTTAAATCTTCGCCTTATATGTACTAAAATGGCAGATTCTAAAAAGGTTAGCAAAGGGCCCTATACAAGGGAGAGTGTATCATTAATCAGAAGCAGAAGAATGTAAGTATATGCTATCTCATTATGTAGGACTGATCTTGTTCCTCTTGTTACGCAATAAAATAACATATGCTATGATTCTTCTGCTTTTGATTCATGATACATTCTCCTTTGCATAGGAGCCTTTGCTAATCTTTTCAGAACCTGTCATTTTAATATAAGGTAGACTCATCACTTTAGTAAAGCAAAGATTTAAAAATATATTCTTTTGCAATTATTGTACACAAGATAGGTCTTATTTTAAATTGTACACAAAATAACTCCTATTTTATGTACAATAATTATAAAAGAATATATCTTTAAATCTTCGTCTTACTAAATCAATGAGTCTATCATACATTAAAATGACAAATTCTGAAAAGATTAGCAAAGGCCCCTATGCAAGGTGACATGTGACAAAATTATTTATATAAATATTCTTAATTTAAGTATTTTCATATAATTGTTATACTGCACTACACTAATACAATAAGTGTAACGAACAGACTTTACCTTGCAATGACAAGTTTCTTAATCTATCATATTCTATCTTAAACAATATTTTTCTCGCTTTGTACAGCCGAGCACTGATTTTTAATTCAGATTCAGCTTCTACACGTGAAAATGAATCAAATGAGAGTTTTAGCAAAATCAGAGGCGGTGTGCCTCTTCTAAATAATTACCAATTATGATATTAATTAAAAACTAAGATTTACAATTCTGTATATATATTCTGATTATATATTTTACTTACATATAATTACTTTACACAATTGTAAGTTGCTGAAGATATTTTTCTTTTTCGCTCCATACTAGCTGTATTCCATGGCTAATTCATTGCTGAAGATTTGTCTCATTAATCTTATACATAATGATTTTTAAATCCTCGCATACAACTCGAACCAATTGTTTAATCTGAAATGTAAGTACAGAGTTAATATTAGTTCAATATTTCGTCTAATGACATTTATTAATTTATATATATTATGACTCTATGGATCCTCTCTGAGACTATCTTTATTTAATTATGTCAAAAGGGAAAAATTGCACGACAAAAATTATTATAGCATACGTTAAAATAAAAAGATATGTCTATTAAACAACAGTTTCTCTTCCAATCGAGTCAAAAAAATTGTAAAATGTTCCGAATATTTTCCTGTTATTATGATAATGAATAGTTATATAATTAAAGTGTTAAAATACAACTTAGGTTTTAATCTATATTTTTGTGATTTTTATTACGTTATTTAACAGCTATATTGAATAATAAACAGATATAAAGTATTTTTCTATAAGTTGAGTCATTCTTTAACTTTGTTTCTATTACTTCAAGTTCATTGTCACTTTTAACTGTTAAATTCTGAAAAATGTCATCTTCCCATTCTGTGTCAATAATAGGAACTGACCGTTTATGCAAAAGAAGTTTTGCATAAAACATTAGTATCTTTAAAAAAGAAGTCAATGCAATAGACATTTCTGTCTATTGCATTGACTTTCATTTTTAAAGATACTAATGTTTTCAACAACAAATCGATGAAAATTTTCTGTTCCTGTGAATTAATAAAAATATTACACTCTTATATAAATATATTGATAAGCCGCAAAATCATAAATTTGAATAAAGAGATAACAATAAACTGTCGAGACAATGTAAAATTAATTTAATATATAATATAATACTTTTATTTGTGCTTGCTTACTTCTGTAGTCGACAACATTTTCACAAAAGCA